TCTAAAGTCGTAGATTCATAAAACAGGCAGCAAACTATTGCATCAGCTCCTTTACACGTAAAGAAATGAGTTTTTCTACATTTACTGTGAGCAAATACGAGAAGTCTAACATCCAAACCGAGGCTGGACCTTCTTTGTTTTGTTATTTGTAATCGTTTCCATTCTTGGCCAAAAAAACAAAGGATTACTCTCGAGGGACTTCCTGATTAAACAAAAGCTTTAATAAATATGGACAGCTATGAACACTGTCCATATTTATTATGTTTTCTGCCAATATCCCACAGCTATAATTCAATCAATTCTTCCATGTAAGAGACATAATTGCACCCAGCGTCCAAAAACTGGCCAATAAAATCCCTTCTTCGCTGATACCACGCGTACAGCTACACTGCATCTGTGTCAGATAAGATATTCCATCAGACCTACTCCTCCTCTGCTCCTGATTGGTTCACTGTGGTTTTATAGTTGGACAGAGTAACCAGCTGCCCACCTCCAACATAGTAACAGAGACAACACAGTACAGTCTAATTCTTTTGGTTTAGTTATGGACAAATCAAGTGTGTGATCATGTATGAGTTGTATAGTTTTAATGTTTTATTTGGGAACAGAATGGTGTGTATGTGTACGTTTCGTGATGGAGTTTTTATTATGAATGAATGATGAATTATGTCTATTTTTTATGCTTAAGGACAACAGATGGAAATTAGCCCTTGGCTATAATCTGGTATGTTTACATTCATGTAATTTTTTTTTTACATTATATTCATTAACATGCACTGTCCTAAATAAATAAATAAATAGTTTTTACTGCATTTTTAATGCATAAAATCATGGTTTGATTTCAGATCAGAACACTTTCTTCATCCCTGACCTCCTTGATGGGACAGGGATAGCTCAGTAGGTAAGAGTGGTGACCCCATGATCGGAAGGTCGAGGGTTCGAATCCACTGAACGGCCACCCTGAGGTAGCGTCCCTACACACTGCTCCCCGGGGGCCCAATGGCTGCCCACTGCTTCACTGAGTGAATGGGTTAAATACAGAGAGGAATTCCCCAACGGGGATCAATAAAGTATACATAATTATACCTTATAATAAATTGGATCTTATATACACTTGGTTTATTCTGAACTCTGAAAACCCTAAACATGAAAAACACATATTTTTGGTGGTTACATCTTATAAAGCAGCTTTAATTGATGTCTCCTTGAACACACGAGCTTCCTCTGATATCCGCCACACCCCAGGCCAACGGTTCCTTTTATTGTCTCCATACTGAGACAATGGTCACCATACTAGTGACCATGGCTGTTTAACAAACAGGCTTTTTAGCCAGACTCCTTCAGACATTTTCAGCTCCCTTCATTCCTTTAAATGTTGTTTTGGAGCAGGAAGGCAGGCTGGGAGAGGGGGGGGGGAGCAGCCTGGCAGCCTTTGCATGCAGTGTGGTGCAGGATGCATTGTTCGGTCCATTTGTCCTGACAAAAATGCCACTCACAGTTCGTCCTGAGCCAAAACCGGGCCATCTGAACTTTCTTCTCCTTCTTGCAGCCACACAGTCTCCACAGAAAGCATGCGAAAGTGGGCGGCAAAAGAACAAACTATCATTGTGCCCAGCTGCCCACCTTGCCAGCAATGGAAGAAAACTCAGTGTACGTTTTGTGTTGTTAATGTGAGCACTTGTGTGTGTGTGTGTGGAGGGGGGAGGCGGCTCACTGTAAACAGATTGCACTGCAGAACACATCTGCACCGAAACACATCAACTCTGATTGTAAAGGACTGTTTGTCTAAGAAATAAAAAGCATAATGAACACAGGTATAAAATCACAGGTAGTGTAAAATGGAAATCATTCCCCATCTGCTGCCCACAACCCTTCAGTCAGTTACAAAGTCTGCACCCATATCACAATCAGTTCAGCACAAACCGGCTGTGAGATTGAAACGGCTGTCAGTGTAGGAAAATAAGCTCCGATAACCATCAGAGTCGGTGACCACAGTTGATTTACGAGAGGAAACGTTTCCCAATCACTGCTCCGAGCTCCTGACAGGAGATGAGGGAAGAAAGGAAACTCTGGGATGTAGGGTTTTTATTTTTGTCTCTTTGCAAAGAAGAAATCTTCACCTCGGCTCTTTCACTTGAAAAACATATTTATCAGCTGCTGTTGTCCTTTTTGTGTGAACTATCCCAAAGCTAGTGGTGGGGCAAGTTTCCATTAACCTCAAAGTAGTATCACTTTGATAAATAAGAACAGCCCCTCTCTGGTGATGCCAAGTACTTTACTACTTTCCTCGTTAGCTCATCCACCCACCTGGCCCCGCCTCCTCCCTGCCACGTGACACGGAAAAGTATGCGCAGCCTAACTGTCGCTGAGGATTTGCATGAGCAGTCTGCCACAGTTGCAATTAAAAAAAGCCTTCGGTGGCGTCACTGCGTACTTTGGCGTGTTTGGACGTGCGACCGAGCAGCGAGAAAGACTTAATTGCATGTTTGTCAGGCGAGGAGCTTCGTCTGCAACAAACTGCAATTTACTGGACTTGCGTGGGCTCGGTCCAGCTACTCTGGGGTGTTGAGAAATGTACGAAACGGACAACTACAAGGACAAACGCTGCTTCTGCCAAAGAGCTGACTCTCGCAGGAGTCCTGAAACAAGTTATTCTGGTGCAGCATGAAGCCAAATGTCTTCTTTTCACGCACCTCCTGCATTTGTTTCTCTTTTCTGGATTACTGAAAAGTTGCAGTGTTTGAGTGTCCTCGTGACTCGGTGAGGTAGAGCTGCTCTGTGTCCCCAAAACAAAAAAAGGCCAAACTAATAAGAATCCAGCTGATTTTCCGTTCTTATATCACTCACTGTCAATGGGCTGCAGGCAGCATGATGGAAAATGTTGCTTGTGACACACTGCTCCTGTTTTTGACCTTTCAGACTCACCCCTCACACACAGGGAGGACAAGCCATTCCCACACTCATTATAGCCGTTTGTCTCGATATGCTTGCGGGAGGCATATCTACATTTTTGCGTAGTAACTGGCACAGTGAGTTTGAATGAATACACCACAGGAATTTGCCCTTGTACCCCTCCCTACCTCCGTCGCTCTAGCTAAATGTTTGGCAAGGGGACGCGTCCCCAATCAACCAAACACCCATCAGCCTCCACTGCAGGACCCAACCTCAGCACAGGTCTGTACTGCAGGCCTCCCGCTCTGTTAATGATTGTAGGAGAGGTTTTCCTTTACGAGAAACTTTGACCCCGTGCGATGTGTGGGCAAACACGCAGAGCGCGCACAGAGTCGCCTAACCTCGGGTGGAGGGAGCGTGATGTCGGCGATGACTAAAATGCTGAGCGGCCTAACGGCAATGCAGGAGTCGAGGCTCGGCGCGCCGTCACACCAACAAAATGTATGTCAGTCATCCAGCCAGTCAATGAAAGAGATTCTCTTAATCATTCCTCACTTCAAATTATCGTCCATTAGACCGCCTCGCCGCTCCCTTCTGAAGATTTAGAAGGTAAAGCATTTGATGTGGGAGCGGTTTAGTGGTGTGGTAAGAGCACGGGTGCATCACAGGGCGGGGTAATTAATCGGAAAGTGTAAAGTGATTGGTTTGTCTGCATTCTTCTTCCCTACAAAGACCTAATTTTGGGTTATTTTGCACATCAAGTGCATCCACAGCACTCACATCTGCTAGACCCAGCAGCAGCTGTCACCCTCAACACCTTCTCATCTGAATTATATTCAAGTTTGGGAGAGCAATCGTACATAATTATAAGACTCTAAGTTTAGGATTAATCATGTTACATAACCAAAATAATTGTATTTTTTGCCATACTCAAGCAGCTCTAGTGTAACATCATTTATAACCACTTTGCAGAATATCAAGCAGCTCAAGAATAAAAAAGCTAGCTCAGCCATTGCTGAGGAGGAAGAAGAGAAAGATGAGGAGTGGACAGCAGAAGAAAATTAAGGGACCTGACCACGTTTCAGATTATTGAAGAGAATCAAAATGTTCTTATTGGGGTCAGAGTGTTGGTGATCTGTGAAGCTGAATAACCAGATGCACACACGGTGCCAACTGAGTGGTTTCATGTTATTTGGCTTCTCCACATTTTTGCTGAATAATCCTAAAGCTGGTTCAAATCTGCAGCTCAGGAAGTGGGCGTCCAGAGCTGCGAGAAGAACCACTGTCACACCAGAGAGAAGTGCTCTGCTCGTACAGCGTTACTGCTGACAGCTCAGCTTTATTTCATTTTAACACCTTAGCACTGTGGCCTGGGATTAAATAACCTCGATCATCACGGGATCTACAAATCACTATGTAATCATTTGTAAGCGATCTCAGAATAGCTGCAATGACCAAAGCACTCTGAAGGATAGAAGAGAAAAAAGTTAACCGCGAAAGAATTTCAGTTGCCCCGCATATCACCCGAAGCATCTCTCGAAACGCTTGAATATCGGCCTTTAACACCACAGTATCGGGCGGATCTTCCAACAATTTTGTCGGCCTCCAACCAACCACACAAGCAGGCGTGCCAGGGAGGCGAGCTGCCTGCACGAAGCCTTCATAAAGTCCGCTGTGCGGTTATCGTGAGGCTGAGCTGTCTGCACAATCACAGCGTGGATTTTTCTGCAACAATGTGGCGCCTTGTTTCCACTCAGAGGAGGGGGAAAAAATCACATCTGAAGGAGTGAAAGCTGCAGCTAATATCACACACACACACACACTCAGGACTTTTCATTCAGTGATTTAGAGAGGAGGAAACCAGCTTATGTAGGGGGGGGGCTTTGCACCGAGGAGTAGAGCTCGGAGGACCCCCGGGCTGAGGAGAGAGAAGGCGAATAGCACAGGGGGTAAATGCGGGGTTTGTGAAGCTACACCGAGGCCCACACTCGGTCTGACCTCCCCATCGCATCCTTCCTCCACTGCCATTTTTCTTTCTGCCCGCCTCCTCCTCCTCCGAGCCCGGCTCCACTCGGCCCAGCTGGGCCCCGAGACTTCGGCTGCCTTACCTTCCTCTGCTGCTTCTCCCAGGCCGGGTCCAGCAGCAGGTCACGGTCCCAGTCGTTCTCCTGCTCCATGTACGTCTGCGCCCCGCCGACGGTCGACTGGTTATTGGCAGCGTGATAATCTACCATGTCAGCAAAAGAAACCTGAGTGCGCCACGGAGAAACTGTCACAGGCAAAAATGTACAAAAATAAAAAATAAAAATGGGGGGAAAAAGAGCAAAGACGACCCAAATCAGAGAGGCGGGACGGGGAGGGATAACCGAGCCAGGAAAGAGTCCTTCTTCTCTCGCCGCTTCCAGCCGTGAGTGTTTTTAATGAGATGAATATCCGGTGTGTGCCGCTGCTGCTGTGTGAAGAAAAGCTCTGCTTCTAAACGGTGTGGCTGCTGGGAGGAACCGGCCGCTCCTACACACCGACACCGGCAAGCACGACCCACCGAGAAGACGCACTTCCGGTGAAGCCTTTCAAAATAAATCAGATGCGCGTCACCGTTCCTGTGATTACTTTCTTTAAAATTAATTATACGTTATTACTATTTCTTGTTGCACTGATTGCAAATCAGGGGCGCCACCAATAATTAATACATTTAATAAAGAGGAAGAGACCCTACAATGAGTTGAAACATTACCTTGTTATTAATCCTCCAATTTCTGTCATTTGTATTGTGTCACTTTGTATGTCCCCTCACAATTTCCTGTCCTGGGCCACCTTGATATTTTTAGTGGCGCCACCCAAAATTCTGGAGGCGTTCATGTTGCAAATCCCTGTGTTTAAAAGTACTTCATATGCTTTTTGACTGAATGAAAGACTAAAAGTAATGGGGTGGGGTTGTTGTTGTTTTTTAAGTGCACTAGGTAGATTTCCTCTTTCCCTAAAAGTCTAGTTATTCTTTTTAAA